CCAATGAATGTCCATGTACAAGTGCACTACTTAACAGTACTATTATATGGTCAGAACCATCCGGGAAGCACCTATCACGTAATGCCTGTGTGTTCGGAGGCTGGAACAGAACTACAACAAAAACAGACCAATGTGAAATTCAGCCTGCAGAACACCTAAGCGCTGTCGGTTAGGGCTGGGCGATATCATATCGATATTGCATCGTGCATGTGCAATAAACACCAGGGCTTCAGATGACAGGCACAACATTTGCCCAAGCGCCAGCTTTTCGGTGCTATACAGACATTTATTTACGCCCACAATTTGTTAAGCAGTTTAGTAGTATGGCTAAAATATTAATGAGGCTTTGTATGACGCCCAAAAAAGTCATTATTAGTATAAATACGGCATATCCTTATGTTTAATAAATGTGTCAGACTTTGAACTGCAAGAAGTACCACCACACCGCCAAAGTCTTTTTACCTTGTTTATCCAGAAGATCTCCTCTTTTAAAAGATGTCGTGGCTGCTCTTCTTCACCAAACCGTCGTATACCAAAATTGTATTATGTGGTGTGCTCCGCTAATCGAATTTAAGAAACAAAGTTTATGCAGATTACCAAAACACATCTAATTAATATTTAAGCCATACTACTAATCCTCTTACCAAATTAAGGGCGTAAATAAATGTCCGTATAGCACCGAAAAGTTGGGGTCCGGTCAACTTTCTGTCATCAGAAGCCCTGGTGATCATTGCGCATGCGGGATATAATATTGCCCAGCCCTACTGTCGGTATCATGTGATTTTTTGCAAGTACGACTGGCTGATTCTAATTTTCTTCCTAAGAACTATAATTGACAACATATATAAACAAAAATCAGCTTTTTTTCCCAATGCAAAATTTTATTTTCATAAAAAAAAAAAAAAAAAGTTAAACTTTACAACTTCCCCTAACTGCACCAAGTTACAGGATCTTATTGCACTTAAACAAGTCTCAACATAAAGTGCTCTGTCACTCTGACAAAAAATCTTATGTACATCTAAATCCACATCACTAATGAAATAAATGTTGGAAAAAGAGTAAATCATTTTGCCATACCAGAAAAGTTTATCCAAAGAAAAAAATGCTGACCATAATCCTGTTTACAGTATTGCAAACAATGGGAAAACAATGATTAATTATCTGAAGAATTGTTCTTGTTGGTAAATGCCAAAAATCAGGTGACAAGCTACTTGGCTATAGAGCTCTCTGATATTTTTAAATGATCAGTCTAAATGACAATATTGAGTCCCTGATCTGTAGTGCTGATCATCGTTCTTTAGTCTCTGCGGAAACAATACGTCTGCGTGTCAGAATTATTTATGGTTTAAAACAAAAGTTGAGTTAAAAACAATTTTTTATTTTTTTTTTAACTCTTTCTGAAATGTAGGCTAGAAGGCTGAGCTGATAGCCAAATCATACATTTGTTGTTGCATATTCTTATCTGGCTTTGTGTGTAGTCTGAGGCTGTTTTTCCACTACTCCAGATTCCATGATTTTGGCACTTCAAGAGAACCAAAATTATGGTATTTCAAGGTGCTGGATTTCCACTGGCATAAAAACTTGTTCCACCTCTGAATGACATCACTACACAAAGCAGGGTATTTTGTACTGAATTCAAAAAATGGCTATAGTACATCATAAGGCTGGGTGATGGGTTATATTAATAGCAATACTGCATGTTATGCATTTCTCACATCACAAGAGCTGCTATAGCAGAGCTGAGATCAGGCTTTGTCATACCACTCATACAGTCCAGATATTACAGCATGGGGTGATTGTTTCACTAAAACATTTTTACTTTGACACAGGAAAGAAAACTTAGCAAGTATTGCAATTTTAATGATTGTCTCTCTTCAAAATGATCTAGTATATGTTTAAAAAAATCCATCTAAAGTTTACGTCTGCTGCTTCTGCATGAGCGTGGCATGCCTTCACTGAAGCAATCAGCGTTTAAACCACTACTAGATGGGTTTCAGAGGAATTTTGAACTACTTTTTTGCTTTTTAAATATCCCAATATTTATTACAACAAAATCACATGATGATATTTACATTTTTTCCAATATAGTGCAGCCCTAGTGTATTATAGGTAACATCTTCCAATCAGATCACAATTAAAGCTTGGGTCTCTTCATTTGTCCAAGCGTACATTGTTATTTTTGCATAACACACTTCGTTTATCGTTGTTTTCTGAGTTTTTCCACTTGTTTCAAGACACTGATTGCATTGCATTTCAGAGAAAAGCTATTTGCATAACCAAATCGACTATGAACACGCTTGCCAGTCCTACCCCAAAAGTACTAAAAAAAAAATCCAGCTAATTTGGTACTTTGGGTACTGGAACTTTTGGTACTGGTATTAGACCAGAAATCAATCAGTCATCAGATCTTTATTTATATAGCACTGTTTTAACCACATGCTTTACAATGTGCTTTACAGACATTTAAAAGAAAAGAATTTTTAAAAAGCATACACAGAAAAAAAAAATTGTTCTTAATACTATTTTTAAAACATAAAAATTCTATTATTTTAAAATACCAGTAAAACACAGGACTTTAACCACAGATGTTCTTGGTAAGGGACTGTAGACCACCCTCTCTGGTCACTGTAGCAGACCACCCTCTCTGGTCTTCCTGCAAGGGGACCCTAAGCCTACTTCACCACTAAAGGCGATAATCACCAGTTAGTCACTGTCAGACACAAACATCAGATTACAGTACTTGTCTGACATGATCAATTACTGATACTGCTGTAACACCCAGCCCTACTGTACAATGTTGATATTCATAAAACTTTGAAACATTGTACACAGCATATACTGTATAATCAAGCAAGTTCAAATCAAGACAGATGGTTCAGAGGACCACACCCTAAACAGCTTAAAAAGAACAAGGGTGAAAACTGGTATTTTTGCCTAAGCCATTTCCACAATACATCACAAGGTGCCATTAAATATGTCTGGCATAATGAAATAAGAAAATATTACTCCAGTTTTTGGGTCAGCTCCAGAATTCTGTTGAAATTGGTCAGATTTTCCTGAGACCTGAATGGTAACGGCCCCCAATGAAAACAAATAAGTAGTGTTTCCTGTGGATGAAGTGTTTTGGCCGAGGGGCAATGTGACCAGGGGGTTGGGGGGTACTATTGGGAAAAAAAAAGCAAAAATATTATTGTTTTGTGATGTCATTTTCTGTGATGTCATGACTAATTTTTTTTTTTGCAGTTTCTAAATTCCTCAATAGTTCACCCATCTCCTGTGCTTCACTCAACAACATAACAACAGCCTAACAGCATTTCATACAGCCTAACTGTATGTCACTAAATCGAACTTAGTCGGTTTGTTGTGGGACGGATGTTGCGTACTCCCAACTAATAACAATGCAGTGAATTAAGGGGGAGAATAGCCCCCTCGCCCCTTCTCGAACTGGTAATCTGTTACGGTTTTGCATTCACACTGGAGTCATGTCAGAAAGTTACCGCTATGTTACTAGGTCACCAGGGGATAGATTAACGGTTGATTTTACTTTACTTTTTTTTTTTACTCCCATTTCCACATCACCCCATAATAGTAAAATAGCAATATGCAGTATAAGCAGGTACCAGTGTGTGTAAATGGGGTATAAGAGTGAGAAGAGAGATGTGTTTTTGCCCCCACATAATGACATGACAGTTTTGTTTACCTGTCTTGCCTGTTTTTCTTTTCCTTGGGAAATACCCAAGTAAGCTCATTCTATTATAGCTTTATCGTCTTGCTAAATGACATTGCAATATAGCCTGTTAGTGCCATTAACCAGCTGAACTCCATAATATGTATATGGAGGGTGGGGCGGGAATCAGGCTTCCTGAACAAGTCACCAAGGCATTGGATTAATGATTGATTGGTTGGTTGAATACATGTTTTTTTTTTTTTTTTTGCCATGGAGGCCTGCCATGGCATAAAGTTACCAGAGGAAACACTGATATAGGCATTTCATACTTATTTCTTAAATATCAATGAAAACTAATAAAAAGGCAGCACAAAGAACATTTGTCATGGGGTTTTATGCACATTTCTAAACAAAAAAGGATTTCAGCTGGACCTCATGGTCATGGGTACAGAAAGTTAACTCACAAAAAAAATTATGAATTAGTGTAAAAGACCATATTGCTTGCTGATAACAGAAAGGAAGCACATATGTATGCTAATCAGGGATTCGAGCCTTCAGGTTAAGTTTGACGGCAATCGTGTAAAGTATTTTCACTATTCACAATGGACAGGTCGGCAACTTATTTTGCAACACAAAGTGGTGAAACGTGTTAAACACAATAGATTCTGTACATTAAACTACAGATAAAACTTAACAGTCACAAGCAATTTTATTAAAAGTGCTTCAGTAAACACCCTGCTAGGCCTATATAAATTTGCTTCATTATAAGCTAGACATATCATGTAAATAACGAACCACTGTTTACTAATCAAGCACATTCGCCAGGCAAGTCATACGTTACTTAAAACGTGGAGTTCCTTATATTTCTTGTCATAATATAATGGCAACCGAAAACATTTAAATAACGGCTTACTACATAGTTACAGTAAAACCTTTAAGAGTTTTAATAGCCTTATACGCTCTTATGCTGTAGTAACTTGACAGTGTACCACGCGAATTACGACTAAAGTCTCAATTTACATCTCCACATGACCCACATTGCTTAAACTCGTCTAAAAATAGCGAGAGCTAGTTAGCCTTTCACTAGTATACGGGGAGATTTATAAAATGCAGCTATATTGGGGCGGCTCTGTCCTATTAGTTAACCAGCAGTGGCTGCCTGTCGTTGCTTTCCCGGAGAGAAAGGGTTATTGGGGTAGCTCTGCGCTAACAGCCCTTAGCCTTTCGCTAGGATAATAGCCGCTTTATAAAAGCCAGTTATCTGGATAGCTCTGCGTTAATAAGCGCTTATTAATGAGCCTTTCGGTGGCTGGGAATAATATGCAGTTATCGGGATGGCTCGTTTAGTTAACGAGCAGAAGCAAGACGCCGTTTTTGTTCAGGAGAGAAAGGCTGCGATCAGCTGACAGGCTACTTCGCAACAAAATGACATTACAGGGCTGTTAATATTTCCAGTCATTTACATTTAGAGGCTTCCCTGAATCGAAGCCTCTTTCGAGGGCCGTCTGAAAGCAAAACGTTTCCACACAGATGTGTTAATGATTTATTAGATGGTTTAGGAAAAGGGGTGTTTCCTCAAGACAAAGGTGTCTGATCATCTGCAGCCAGAGCAAGGCCTAGTAAACCGCTCACTATTTTAACACAATGTCATCAGCAAAGCACCATTGAGACGTGGTCACTGCTATAAAAAATACAGAATTCTGCCTTTGCATGTTTATATTTTCAGCGCTTTGGCCACTGACAAATACATCTAAATAGGAGTTCACAATTATCAGCACCCCACGAAAGTCGCAGCAAATCCGCACTATCCTCGATACGCCAAATCGCAAAGAGTACAGCCGAATTCTAAATGTAACATTTAACATGAATAAAATGAAGTGTCTGCCGCAAGTAGGCCGGATTAAGCAAACATACATGTAATTGTAATATGCTAACCCTGGAGATGGGAGAGCCTCGGTAGAAAGAAGACAGCGCTCGGGAGACACCGTCTCCGCTTTCGGTTCGTGCCCGACGGCCCGGGCTCGTACCGTACGGTGCACTGCAGTTTTACGTGTGGCAAATTTATCAGGGATTCGGGAAGCAAGACGAACCGAACAAAGCGAGGCCTTTTCAACCCAGAGGCGAGGAGCCGCGGCGTTTCCTACCCCCATACTGCGCCCTGAACTGTAAGTGAGGAATGGTGATTACTATAGGATTACCACGAACGATTTACCGAAAAATCAGCCTCTGTCCAAAACCCTTTCTATGGAAACATTTCTTACCTCTTTCTCCGTTGTGCCTCTCCGGCTGCACCGGACGCGGCCTCGACACTCGCCTGGGTCTTCTGCTGGTCGCTCTGACGGAGTTCATTTGCGGATTTGGTTATTTAAAATTAAACGCAAACCCAGCCCTCCTGTTGTGACCGATAATCTTAACATGCAAATGTAAACTCAGCAGGCTTCCTGGTGTAAAGCACTACGGCGCTGGCAAAGGCGAGTTGCGTTTTTCGGGTGTTATTTACGTTTTTCTCGCTGCTGCCCCTTTCTTAGCCTCCCTCAGCTCCGTTTATCTCTTGCAGGAGGAGCCATTTACTCACAGAGACACGGCAAGGGGAAAAAAATCACAAGGCAAGAACATCCACCAATCGCTTACTACGTTTCATCGCTTTGGCTTGCAGCTGCAAATAGAAATGTTTTTCTAAAATGCTTCCCTTCGATCGGTCCAACCTCAGTATCAGAGTACACATCACTTGGCGAACTCGGAAAAAGGGCCAGAACGTGTTTCCTACCAAGATCCGGGATCGGGATTGGGATTGGGATATATGGCCGCCTCGTCACTGAATGTGCCGCCCTCTCTATCTTCTCCGGTTCCCAGGATACAATGGCACACACTATATGAAATGCCTATATAACCCGGGGTAAATGCAGTCTGTAAATGAGTCTGTAAGTTAGTATCAGCACGACATTGTGTTGTAAAAGCAGAATGTATAATGATTCATATTTAATTAAAAATTGCATATAACAGGTTGACACAGCTACTCGGTCTCAGACTCAGCTCTGTGTGTGTTCCCTCCCTAACATCGTTCAGGTAAAATTCTGACTGCATCAACAATCCCAAGCGCATGTAAGTGGTTGCTGAAAATGAATTACAGCATATACAACTTCTATATCTATTTCATGGCCACTATAATTAATTTGAGGCTATATCAACTGTAGATCTATTGGCATTACAGTAACACATAAAGTAATAGTATTTCATTCCAAAAGAACTGATTACTTGTTTAATAGTAAAATTTGAAACGTTTAAGGAAAGGCAGCTCTTTACTAGACCAATGGATTTCCTTAAAGCATGAAACCATGTAATATGATACATGATGGCATGAAACCATGTAATATGATAAATGAAGACTTCCAATAGGTAATATTAAGATTTACTTTTTGTATTTGATAATCCATCCATCCATAACTGCACTTCCAGTGCACTATTACAGTATTACCTGGAGTTTATCACAGGAAGCTTTGGGTATGAAGCAGGAACACCCTGTATGAAATATCAGTCATTCACAGGGCATTGTGGGCAATTTGAACAAAATTCACCATAAAGTACATTTTTGGACTGTGGGAGGCAACCCACTGAGAACATGTACATTTCTGACCCAGAAACGGTAATGGAAATCATGCAACCCAGGAATATAAGGTTACCTGGATATACAGCAAAATTTACAAGACAGAAACAAAATGTAATTTTGAGACAGGGAACTTTGGATAAATATAATCTTGATTAGTATAATCAGCACAGGTTACTGTTGTTGGGCTGTTCCTCTATGTAATCTGCATAAACAGCAGAGATTGTGGCATACTAAATGCATGTTCTAAAGCCTGCAGAACTACCATCGTATGTAGTGTAGCAAACATACAGTGTAGCATGGACATAAATTATGGGGGGTGGCAACCCCCTGAATAAATCAAAACCAACGAATTAACCCCCCCACCTATATGGGTAATGACCAACGTTCAAACCAAAGTTATGCCCTTGGAGTGTAGAGCAAAAGACTTCAAAACACTTGAAATGAATCATTTACAAATCAAGAATATGTCATTATTTGTCATTATACTTAGGGCTGGGCAATATGGCAAAATATTTTACAGTGACATTTTTTAATATATAAAAAGATTTTGATTATTATCACCATATAGTTCAAGTCATTATTTACTTCAGTGCTCAATTTAGATTTTAAATTCTCTTGCCCTTAAGTCAGAACATGCGAAAAGATGACAAATTGAATGGACTGCAAACTGAGGTCTAACAAATAAATCAGACAAAAATTTATTTCCTTGTCATAGGGCTAAACAACAGTACGTTTTGTTGCTAGGTTTTGTTCACTGTCTGCCTCGCTATTTGTTCCAGGCAATGGATTTGATTAGGGTTGGGTGATATGCCCTAAAAATAATATGACAGTATTTTCAGAGATTTTCACAGTATTGATATTTCTCACAATATTCTAAAATTCATATATAGAAAAAAGTCAAATATGACAGGTGGTTTTGAATTTTTTTGATTATGATGACCACATTCTTTTAATAATAGCTATAAAGCATGTGACAAGTATAATGATAAATTGCACCAACGACAGACTCGTATCTTGATGGAATTTGTGTAAAAATAGCACCTTATAACTGTTCATTATGCAAGAAAACAAGTGCTTAGTGTCACGCCCAGCTCCGTCTGATCCTAATGTGTGCCACACCCACCTCGTTACCTCCTGTTTTTGCCTGATTGTCATCACCTGTTGCCTATTCCTTTTGCCTTGTCTTGTGTATTTAGTCCGAGTCTCAGTCAGTCTTCCCCAGATTAGTCATTGTAGTGTCATGTATTGTCATGTCTGCTGTTTCGATGTCTGCCCGTATCCCATAATAAACCCCGACTTTCCGTATTACCAGCTCTACTTGCCTGCTTCCCGGCTCGCCTTCTCCGCAATCGTGACAGTTAGGTTATATCATGATAAAAAATTCAAATTGATGGTGCTATAAATATTCATAATTACCATACAATATTTTTTATCGATATATCGCACAGCTCTAATTATACCCAATGTGATTGTAAAACCAGGGTTAGGTAATAATAGGTGCTATATGCAGTGTTAACATTTTGATCACAGCTGTAACAATTTTTTAAATACTATCTGTTCCTTTATAAAGTGTCATTATTATTATTATTATTATTTTCTGTGTGCTTTTAAAACCAAGAAGCCATTTCGGTTACAGTTTTAATCAGATTATCTCATAGGTCAGTCAGTATACGAGGAATTACAGATGGAATGCAGGTGAATTCAACTGCTGTAACCAGACTGATTTATACTGGAACCTCCCTATGTATGCTCACATCAAGTTTAAGTCCTTGGATCCATTTATCAGAGCCATTAATGGACAGGCACCCATCTCCATCAAGATGATTCTTAAGACCTACATCTCATCTTGACTGTTTGAGTCAACAAATCAATGCCACTTGGAGATCCTTCCACCATGTGAGAAGTCTTACTCTAGATGTTTCTCTGTGTGAATGAGTTGCTGAAATGCATTCAGTCATTTAGTCTCTTTTAACCTTCAAGTAACACCTCAAGATCCTTGTGTACCTCGACTGGCCAGATACCACTCTATGTTCCCTTAATGCTCTCATTGTTGCACTTTGCTGATTTGAATAGTTCTCTTGTTAGGCTTAAAAGGTATTGTCTCACTTTTGCTCGAATACTTACATTCTTTCCATAATTGCATTTATTGGAAGCTTAGCCTAGCTGCACTTATGTCTAGTTGATTCCTTGACAGCCATATATTTATAATGTGCTATTTGTATGTTGCTTGTATGTTGCTTTGGAAATGAATGGATCACAACCTGTCTTATTATATGTCACAGTCTTGTGCTTGTCGTTTTTCTTATTTGTATTTTTTATTTATTTGACTAAATCGAACCATGCAAGAATTCCAGTGTACCTGTACTTCTGTCCCCCTACAAATGGGAAACATAGTTTCAATTCAGTTCAATTCTACCTATCAATCCTCACACAGGTTGTCACTCTCTGTCCGAAGAAATAAGGGAGGCCATCCCTCCTTTGGGTCCATGATGACAAAACTTACCCCAGGTATTGATTGTGCAGTCTGAGAATTGTATTTGTTCAAAATAGCACATGGTATTTTATTCCTCAGATCACATAGTAATATGTAGGATGGATGGCAACTCTAATCCTCGCATTGCCCAAGACATAAATGCATGAATGCACTGATGTGCTCCTATTGGACACCGCCCCCTACAGCAGGCTTGTGCAATAGAGCTGCAGAAGCACTGTCATTATCTGTACCAGTGTCTGTATCTGTGTGTGTATCTGTTCAACCAGCAAAATGATCTGTCTCTGTATGTGTATTCAGTTAGTAGACCATAAGTGTGTGTGGTTTATACCAGAAGTCCCTGTAAAATTGTAGGCCTACCTTCTATGAATCCAATATTTATTGGTAATGCAATTATTGTGCCTTAACTAAACTTTAACCAGACTACAGTGAATGGTCATAAATTGAAAAAATAATCATTGTAAATTGAAAGACTTGTATTGCCCATGATAAATTTCACCGACTCCACTGTAATGCTACCAGTAAAAATTTCTGAGCAGGGGTGAAGGGGGCACAAAGGAAAAAGAAATTTTACAATATTCAGAAAACCATCTCTTGCCCCACAGAGAATCATTGACCAGCACAATGTTCCTGGGAAGTTGGAAAAAAAATTTCAGATTCACAAGATGGCCTCTGCAGTCCTTTCTATCCTCTGCTGCCACCTAGCAGTGCAACTTAAATTTTGGGGCAATTTATTTTAAATCAGGTGTAGATCTTCATCCATATAAAGTTTCCTACCAAACTTTTTAACTATTCATAAGGTCAAATGTGGTCTGCAGTCACACTTCACTTTGATGCCACAAAGCATCTTTGCATTAATTTTAGAGTGATCCATCTCAAAATTTGATCAGTTCCAATTCTTTATGTGTGCATTGTGTTGGCAAAGTTTAAAAAGGTCCTTCATATATAGTTTTAAAATTATCACTCTAACAGCATCAAGTGTCAAAACTGTTTTATTCTGTGCTATCACTATGTGGTGCTGCCTCATTTTTGGCATGAACTGTCTCAAACTTTGATCTAGTTTGTCATCCAGGCCATGTGGCTGCAATGTCTGAAAATGATCTGTCAAGTAGGCTACTTTTTCAGTTAACAAGAAAGTGTCTGTGGTGCAATGGATCAGTATCAAAACCACATGTATTGCTCATTTGGAGAAGTTGACATCAACCTACCAAAATTGATGGAATCCAACTATACCACAGCTGGTGCTAGAAACTGAATGTTACTTTGAATAATACAATAAAAAGCATGGTAAGATAACGATATGATGAATATTAATGAGATAACAATATGACCAGCTGATCACTATCACAGAATAAGCAACATGTTGTACAAAGGAATTGACACAAAGTTCTCAAAATTGAGGTTCAGAAAAAAATAGGACTAATATCTCTTTAGGGTAGTTTAGTGGCTGTCACACCTCCAGGCTGCTGGTGCGATTTTTAGCCCAGGCTCTGCATGTGAGGAGTCACCATGTTGCCCAGACTTGTGTAGCTTTGCTGCTAACCATTCCTAAATCGGCGATAGGGTGGCTCAATAAGGCAAATTGCTTCCTCATCCATCCAATCTTCAGGGTTACCGTAACCCCCCACTGGAAGAATGAGAATTTTGTGTGATTGTCTGGGGTCCCCTTGGTAAATGTTGTAGTGGGCGCATGTTGTGATTGGCCCCTCTGCCCCCACCTCCTACACCATTAGTTCATAATGTTCTTTGCCACTTCAAAGAGACTTATTTTCCAATACACTATGATTCTCACAAGACTCATTACTTCTGAGCTTAAGAGCAATGACCCTTTCCTGCCAGCAGATGTCAGGCTCATACAAATCTATGTGGTTTCTAGTAGCAGGGGCAGTGTTCCTTCAGTGTACGGATAGCTTGTTTC